TTCAGTTTCAGAATGAAGTTTTTAGCTATATTTGAGAACATTCACTTCAAGGATGAGAAAGTTGATCAAACAGTAACTTGCAACTCTATATTTTCTTAACTTCTCTTCGTATATTCAGTCAGTAAGAACCATTCATGCGTGGTCAGTTGCTTAAGGAAACAAGGCTTCTTAAGACCTGATTACTATCATCCATGTTTTGTTTTAAGACACAAATACCAGAAAAACCCATGGGAGAAATAATCTGCCTACTATATATGTAATGTGCTCTTCTAAATGATGCATAAATTTTAAGGTATTGCTCTTAAGCAACATTATTCAATAGAACTTAAATTTGCTTTTCTTACTTTATACCAGTCTTACAAATAAGCTACAGAATGTGACTTGGCGAATTACTAATTTTTTTCTGTTTAATCTGTTTTCACGATGACTTAAAAGGGACATTATAGGGGTTAAAGTATATGCCTTGCATGGTCCCAACCCTAAGTTTGATTAAATTTCTTGGCACCACATGCCTGGGTGTCACTGGGTGCAACTCTGGAGGGCCCCATACATTGCCAGGGTGGCTCTGGATACCTCCTATATCACAAAACCCTATCAGGCCTGTATTCTCTGATACTTGCATTGACATGCTAGCCAAATGGACTGCTTTGAATGACCCCATGAATGGCCTCAAAGCCCCCTAAACATTGCTGGGTGTGTGTGCACCCCAAATAAAATTTTAAAATAATAAAAAAGATTTGAATAATTTTTCTTTAGTGAAGCTCTAGTTCAAAAATCTGAAGTGACAAAAAGATTGCTTGCTTGCACTGTAGACATAGACTCTAAAATATATGTGATTATTATAATCTTTAGTATTTTCCTTAAAATATTCAGTGAGTTTCAGTAACTTTATATATCAAAACATAGACATCTGCCTACTATATATGTAATGTGCTTTTCTAAATGATGCATAAATTTTAAGGTATTGCTCTTAAGCAACATTATTCACTATTGTAACCATGTTACTTAAACTATAATAAATTAGTAAATAAATCACATATTTCAGTGCAAAAAGAGAGGGGAAACATAAAAGATGAAATAAGATTGGCCTTTCATTGATAGACACCATATTTATTTGTTAAACTATTCTAAATCATTTTTATCTAAGGAACTGAAAATGGAACTTGACCTTATTTAATTTGAATTACAGTTCAGGCATAACTGTTACAGATATCTAGATACCCAAAGTGGAAGCTGTGCAGGATAAGAAAGTCCAGGTACTTTGAGAGAGACCAGGAAATGAGAAGATAGGCATTAATTCCCAGAAGTATGCCAAATAGTTATCTGACTGGAAATATATATATATTTTCCCCTACCCCCACGCCTATACACACTTTATTTAAACACCATGGTTTACAAAGTTGTTTTTGATTTGTTACAGGCAACAAATATTTCAACACCAATCCTAATACCACTGTCACCTTCCCTCCATCACTGTCTCCATTTTCCCAACCTCCACTCAAAAGCCTACCTCTAAAGCAGACCCATATTAATTTATGTTGCTATTTACCATTAAATGGTTAATGGAATGATCAAAAATTATTTCTGTAGGGAAAAGTTATGAAAATTGTTATATCTCACAATGGGGACATTAAGTCTTTGTCTGAGATTTCACTAAACTGCTCTTGCAACTTAAGCCTTGCTTGTTTTTGGCTGACTTCTGCATTATACCTCATCTAATCTGCTATGCTACTATTGGGATGTTGCAGCGTTTGGACGTGTCACGCTCCAGAAAATACAGAATATTTAACTGTGTATGGCTTCTGGGTCTTCCAGAAATACAGAAGGAAGGGGAGGTGATGGAAGAGGTTCCATCCTGACTCCAAGAAGGCTTGGAGTTTTCAATCACAATGATCTATGTACCTGAAGTTTTCAGCTGATTAAGTTCTCTGTGGTGCTCAGTCCTGAGGTAGTGGGGTCTGTCCGGGGGACATGATAGCAGCTTTGGGGTGTGGGGAGGAAATTCATGTGCTTTTGGATTTAAGATTTAGGATGACTGAGTTTAGGACAAATGAAACTGTGAGATAGATAACTCCAACACTAATTTTAAAGATAGGGACAATTTCTTAGAAGTTAATGAGCATTTTAAACCTCAGAGACTGGCCCACATTCAAAAGAACAAAAGCAACCGATGCTGGCGTGGATGTGGTGAGAAAGGGACACTCCTTCACTGTTGGTGGGAATGTCGACTAGTTCAGCCCTTTTGGAAAACAGTATGGACGTTTCTCAAAAAATTAGAAATTGAGCTCCCATTTGACCCAGCGATACCACTCCGGGGGATATACCCCAGAGAGGCAAAAATGTGTAGTCGAAGTGACATCTGCACTTGTTTGTTCATTGCAGAACTCTTTACAATAGCCAGAAACTGGAAGAATCCTGAGTGCCCAAGAACAGATGACTGGTTAAAGAAACTCTGGTACATCTACACAATGGAGTACTATGTAGCTCTTAGAAAAGATGATGTCATGAAATTTACATATAAATTTGAGGCAGCATTTATGTTGTAGAAGTTAAGACTCAGACGTTTAAAGTTTAGAATCTATCTTAAGCATGGTTTACATTTAACTTTTATGATTTTATATTATTCATAAAAAACAAAACAGTAAAATAAAATACATTGAAATGTTCATTCTGTCACTTCTCTGTAGTAGAAGAGCAAAACTTTGGATGTCATCTCTTTTAAAACTACACAAGAGTTCTTTCTGCATAAATTTTAACAATTTAACATTAAAAATAATTGAAGTTACACAAAATATTTCCTTCTTTGATTTGCTGCCTCCAATATTCTTTCTCTGTCTTGGTTTTTGTCATCCTGATTAAGATGTACCTTGAAGTTAATAGTTGGACCTACATAGTTTTTTATATTTGGATCTAATTTCACTACAACCCTTTGGATTTCTTGGATCTGGGTGCCTGTATTCCTCAACCCTGGTAAATTCTGATGTATGATTACTTTGACTAGTGGTTCTTTATCAAATATGCTTTCCCACCCCTCAGGGAATTTGATGATTGCTATATTGTTTCTCTTGAACTTATCCAATAGTTCTCTGGTAGGTTTCTATGTCACTTCCTTTGTGTTTGGTGTACTCTAAGGATGAATCCTTTTAGTTCACCCCACTGGGAATCTCTGAGGTACTGGGCTAAGTTTGCTCTTTTCTTACCTGGCTAGTTCTCACTCAGTGAGAGAAAGCAAAGTGAGTGCAGTGTCAGCTGTGATGAATGGAGAGGTTGTGTGGCCTCTTATACACGATCAGGGTATAAGCAGCAGCAAGTAGAATTATGAGTGCAGAGTGTATAGGTATGAAAGATTGAAAAGCAGGCAGAGGGTGGAGATATGGATGCAGGCCTGCTGAAATAAAAATTAATATTCTATAACCCTTTTGTTACCCAATTATATTTCTTTAAATATCTCGAAAATATCCTGTTACAGATAGTTATTTGAAATAAGATGCAAATAAGATATTCATGATGCTGGGATTTTTTATAGCTCATTTATTCTCCTTTTAAAGATGCCATAAGTTCATATTGGATCATATGACAAATAGAATTTCCTATAGTCTATATTTAATTGGTCCCTAATTGTGCTATTTTATATATTATCTGCAGATAAATCTAAATACTTGACTCAGTTCAAATTTCTTTCTCTTTCATTTTCTCTCCCTCCCTTCCTTCCTTTCTTTCTTTCTTTCTTTCTTTCTTTCTTTCTTTCTTTCTTTCTTTCTAGTAGTATTTCTAGTAGTATTTCCTAGTAGTATTTCACAGGTGGTACAGTGCACTTACTCTTAGCGGGCACATTACGTTCTGAGGGTCAGTTTGCATTGTACTGATCCCATCACACTTCCACCTTAGTTTATAATTAATTTTCTAGATTATACAGCTATGTATACAACTATTATTATTCTGAAAAGCTATACAACGAATTTTTTAAAAAAACTAGTAAAGTAGAAAGGCATAAAATTAATACACATACAGTAATAACTTTATTGTTTACTCAAATAGCTATTTAGAAGATATATGGGGGAATCTATTTACAATAATAAAAATGAAGAATACCTACAAATATAACAAACTAGGCAAAAATAGCTTTAAAATATTCTTAAAGGTAACCTGAGAGAAAGTACTCTAATCCCAGTTTGATCTCTGCCCCATATTGCCCCTGGAGCATAGCTGGGTGTAACTCCAGCAGCCCCAATGATGCTGAAATGACCTTGGTCAATTCCAGCACTGCAGGGCCTAAGCAGCACCATAGAACTAGAGCAGCAGCACATCCTCAGGCACTCAACTTGCTCCTCAGGCCTGCTTGGTCAAAAATTGCTGGGAGGGCTCTGTGGGCTTTCTGGGAACTGCTAGGGATATACATATATATTCCTAAAATAACAAAGGTAGATTTCAATAAATGGAAAGACACCCCATGGTTTAAGGCAGGTTGATAACAATTTAATAAAGATGTAAAATTAGACACCATAGAGATGTCTAGTTTGTTAAATATGACAGGGATTTGTTATATAGTTGAACGCAAAACTTGCATTCTTTTGACAAATATAAACCTGAAAAACAAGTTTTGTTTGTTTTTTGGTGATACTCAGTGATTTTCAGGACTTGCTCCTGGCTCTGCACTCAGGGATTACTCCTGGTGAGGTTTGTGGGACCATATGAAATTCTGGAGATTGAACAAGCAAGGCAAGTGCCTTATCCTCTGTACTATTTCCTAGCCTCAACAAAACAGTTTTATACCAACACTGCTTCATACAATTTCCCCAAATCTCCAATATGAATCAACCTACCTATTCAGCACAATAAGCATTGTCCATTGGGCCCGTAGTATTTGTAGGGACCCTCAAACATGATTTTAATTTATTTTGAAATCAGAAGGAAGTAGTACATATTAATATGTATATCTGAACACAGTTATAAATATTTATATGCATATCTGTGTTTTAACATACGAAAGGTTCCACAAAGGTAAAAGCACCTAAAATATTTATAATACAGCACTGCCTATGGGAATGCACTTTCAGTGCACAGTGGAGACATGAAAATTGAACTGTACACATCAAATCCTTCCAATTTTCAAGGATTCTTCAAAAGCCTTCAGATTCCAAGGGAATTAATTTTAAATGATATAATTGCATATGCCCTTGAAAAACAGTACTATAGATATCCAGGACAAGCCTCAGGCTGACCATACCACAAACCCACTGGGTCTGGCAGTCTGTGTTGCTCATTCACAAGTTACCTGTTCCACTCCAGATGTCATAGTCATTGTTTACAGAGAGTTGTATGAGCCTTAGTGTGGACTTTTAAAATCTTAGAACTTGAAGCAGTTGAATCCAACTTTCAACCAATGGAAAAACACCTTTGTCACCATCTTTAACCAATCATTTCGCATCAGTTTGAGCACACCCTGACACTGTCTGCAATGGGGAGCAAAGGAGCTTCCCATTAGCTAATGTCTTCTAACAGAATATTAAATGTGAGAAAACCCAGAGTTACACAAGTTGCTGTTGACAGGAGAAAGCTGCTAAAAATCAGAGTTCTCTAGACACAGTGAGTAGTGATGGTGGACAAGTCACACGCTGTGGGCACTACCCACCAGGACCAATGTGGTCTCCTCATCCTCAGGATTAAGTTCTAGCCCTTCCTCTACCACCTTATGAAGCGTGCTGTAAAACGGCCGGCTTTCTTGGAACGAATGCAGCTGTGATGCAGCTTCCCAGGCCGCGAAAGTAGGCAGGGGGAAGACATCCGGTCTCTTGTTTTCGAAAAAGCTCTTCAGGTTTCTCTCACTCAGTTTGTTGGCATAGTCCAAGAACTTATTTTCCAACTGCTCCTTCTCCTTTTGCGCATACGTCTTCCAAAAGCTCATCTGAAGGTAGCTAACTTTAGATCTACAGCGAGCATAGCAAGTGGTAAGCAGAGAGAAGAATGATGCGGTACAAATCAGGAACCACCCTAGAATCTTAGAAAGAAAGAAACATTGAAGACCTATATAAGCAAGGCACTTACTTCTCAAGGATCTGGGGTGGTATTTCTGGAGAGTGTATCTGCATAAATGCTATGCCATTGCCATATTTGGGTTGAAATCAGTCCTCTTTTTATTTTAACACTTTAATAATTAAAATAAAATTAGTACTACCCAATCTCTATTCTCATATCATCAAGAAGGCAGGTGGAAAAGAGTAAAAATTTAGATTATACTGCAGTTTAAAAAACCAATCCCTCACAAAGTATTAGCTATTGGCTAATGAGTTCAGGAGTAAGTGTGGTCATTTGTGCAAATGGCTATTTCCTTAGCCTGGTATTTCCAGGCACGAGAAAAGCATATACATGGATAATGTCTGTTTTTCCCATGCTGTATTGTTTGCAGGGAGCACCAGACTCTTTTGAAAATATGTCTCATTATCCATGAAAAGTGAAACAGACCCAATACAACTAGGAAACTGAAGTTATAAAACTTAAAGCCTACAAAAGGGCTGAAGAAAAAAACTAGTCATGCCAAACCCTGAGGCTATTGATTTTGAGTTTTGGTAACTAGGAATAAATACCTCTCTGACTACAAGCCGGGGTACCTGAGTGATAGAACAGCAGAAAGGGCATTTGCCTTGCACACGGCCAACCCAGGTTCTATCCCCAGCACCCCACATGAACTCCCGAGCACCACCAGGAGTAATTACTGAGTGCAGAGCCAGGAGTAACCCCTGAGAATTGCCGTGTGTGACCCAAAAAGCCAAAAAGAAAAAGGAAAAAAATATGAATACAAACCAGTTCCTCAGGATGCTCCCCTACCCTGAAATTTAAAAGTAAAATTTCAAATAACTTCACCCATCATCTAAACTTTAGGTTTCACAATTTTAATTTATTCTTTTTTTGAAAATAACAGAGTTGTTTCAAATTTTATCTTGACTTTTTAGTTAAGTTACTCTTAACTCAGAAGATGGGCCTATTTGAATTTAAAACATGAGAATCTGCAAATGAATCCATTTAGTTATAACAATCATCTAAGTCCCAATGATTTAAGTGAGTGGTTTCTAAATCTGGTTCAGATTATGAGTGATTAAGAAGAGTTTTAGGTGAATCCCTACTCTGGATTGGCACCACTTGGGTTTAAATCTAAACTTTCCTCTTACCGTGCCTCAAATTCCCCAGTTGTAAAAAGAGACTTGGGGGTGGGGGTAATTCAGAGGACTGAAATGAGAAGAAGTGGACTCTCGTGTGCATTTAAGTGTTTGCTAATATCATCTGCTGTTTTCCAAATTTATCTGCATTTACATCAAGACATCATTGACTCATAGTATCTTTGTCATTATGATTAGTGACTGAGGCACAATTACCATCCTGTGAAAGTGCTCGTGTTTACTTTGAATCACTTGTGGTTGGCTACCTCAGATCTTCTCTTCTTCATCCTTTACCTTCCTTTTCCCCCAAACCTGGCTTTGGAAAAATACCTCAGCCCATCATGTTGGTCACATTTGCTTGAGTTACAGACTATCTGACCCTCTTCATATCTCCCCACCTTCAAATTATATGACCTTAGCAGTAACTGAGACACAGAGGGTGCTCCCACCCCAGCCCTCACTAGTGTCCCATTTTACGGGAGTCCCTTCCTTCTTACCCTGGGAGTTTTCTTCATTTGTGCCAGCAGCTTTAAGCCTACTTACATCTATTGTCTACAACTCTCAGCAACCCTCCAAATTAGATGTGCTACCGCCAACTTCCAAGAAAATGAAGTTCAGAGAGACCAAATCACAAGCTCTAGGTAACATAACCAATGAACAGAGGTGTCTATATTCATACACCAGTCTGATTTACTCCAAAGTTGAATTCTTGTCACTTCTCCCCTCTGGCTTTCTTAAGGTTAAAGAGCGACCCAGCTGGTTTCTTGAGAACTTGTTTGGAATTTCCAACTGGGAATTGCAGCTTCTTGTAAACAATTTGTTTTTCTTCCAAGGAGGCACTACTTTTCAACCTAGCACTTAGCTTGGGGAAGTACACACAGACTGATGAGAGAGGAAGGAGTCACCCAACTAGCCAGCAAGATGAGCTGAATGAACCCTAGCAATCAAGCTGAATGAACGCTAGCAATCAATGGGGTGACAGACAGATCAGCCTTACGTCCCAGCTGACTGTCATTACTGCCTATTGTTGCTGTTTGTCTGAACCTCTGCAGTCAGCAACTGTTACCTCCCTTTGTTCACATCCCTCATGCATCCTTCCCTTGGAATCAGCCCCAGGTCCTTCTTGTTCTACTGAAAAGTAAACAGAGCCCTGTGCCCAAGCTCAGCTATGACAAGATGCACATGATTACCTTATGTCTGTGTTTAGAGAAGAAAGACTTACACAGTGATTACTGTTTGCATCTGGCACTAAATGAATGGAGCCTAGTGCCTGAGGACATGTATCATAAATCACTCATTATATCATAACATTCATAATTAGTACCTTCCTTCAAGGAAAGAAGGATGACATTTGGGAACCTAGCATGTTTTCATCTGAGATACACTTTATGTGTTAAACAAGACTTTATTTTGAGGGCAGTTTTAGGGTTATCAGTTTATGGAAAGTATATGAATATACTGCTGACCTGTTTTGTAATGATTCTTGATAGAGATTTTGCCTCAATATGTCATTATAAAGGGCAGTTCTAATGAAAAGTGAAGTTGTACTGTTTTCAGTGCTTTTATTCTAAAACAAAATTTTTTTTTTTATAAATTGTGGACTTGTGTCTCTACTTACTTTTAGTACTTGTTTTGGTATTAATGATGTAATTCCTACTACTGAGATGTAGGAAAACAGTCACTTCCTAAGGCTGGGTTTTATATCTGGATGTGGGTCCATTTACCTGGAACTATGACAAACTGCTTCTCTGTCAATCAGGTAAAGAAAGTGATTCCTTTTGTTAGACAGAACAATCCCCCATATCTTGAGCCTCTACAGTATTGTAAGAACTTCTTCAGTTGTATAGCACAAATAGAAACAATGTAATCTCCCTAGAGAACATGGTCACTTTTCACTGAAGGCTATTAAAAGTCTACCAATTACTGCTTTATGTGGGAATTTCTTTTCAATCTTGACAGTATGTATACGTAGAGATAATAGTTGCCAGAAACTATCAAGGGAATCACTATACTAATTTTATTACATGCAATTTTAAAAAGTATTAGATCATTTGATTCAGCTATATTTTAGTAGATAAATATTATATGTGTGTTTCTGAGAAACCAGTTTGAAAATAAATAATGGATAGAAGGCTGTAATTTCTAATTACAGTTCTGCCATTAACACTCAATTATGAGTTAGTGGCATGCATTATTTACAAAGTCCACCCAAAGAAATTGTTTTAAAGTACTTAAGTATTTACAAATGCATAACCCAGAGGATATTTTTTTTCTGGAAATGGAAACAACAATCCAATCAGCATTTTTACTGAGCCATCCAACCTCTAAAAAGCTTTTCTGAGAGTCTTAACAGCTGCATCTGTTCCAGTTTCTATTGTTTCAAAATGTTCTAGCAGGACACAGTCTTGGCTAAAAGAACAGGCTGAAAAATTATTCTGGGAGTGTAAGGAAAATTTATTCTTTCTTACCTGAGATTGGGCTTGTAAAGACCGTTTCAGTTCCTCATCATCCATGCTTGTCATGCTAGTTTTGCCACAACTTACTTTGTAAAGTTCTTCCCGGCACTCTTTAGGCTTGTTCTTGCAAATCATTTCGAGGAGACTTGCACTTGTTGTCCCACTCATGGCACATTCATAAAATGTCCCATTTAGCAAAGCCACGGAAAGCCACATCATTGGAGCCACCAATGAACTCAGAATGATCTGGCCAAGGACATAGAAGAAACGGCAGTTGTGACCTCGAGGGAAGATTTTCCTGGGATTCACACAGCAGCCTGTAAAGAGTTTCCATGATCTGTTGTTCACAAAAAATCCCAAGATCAGTAACACCCAAGCAGGAGCAAAAAGAAAAACTAATCCGTATGTGACATTCTCCGTACTGCAGGGACACTTAAAAGCCACAAGGGAAAAGAGTCGCTCACTTCCCACAGTAAGAAGAGCCATGAAACTGTAGCCAATAACAGTTTTCTGATTAACAAAGAATTTAATAATCCCCTGAAAAGCCTCCATCTTGAAGGTATACAGAAGGAAAAGGCTTTGCCCTTATTTATTAGCCAGGCAGCTGGAGCAGCGGCTAAGGGTGGAGCTTTTTCTTCATCAGAAACAACAGTCTCTCTCAGACCGAATTCAGCCAGAGAAGGAAACAATGTCATTCCCTAGGAATGAGTATTTCCCAACTCCGTTCAGATAATGCCTCCTACTGGCGGACATTGGGCCATGAAACTAGAGTCAAACAGAGATTTAAGATAACTCTAAAGTGTGCAGTTCTTGTGTTAGTGCGGTGTGTGAATGAAGCCATTCAAATGTGAAATTGTTGAGTGCAGAATATGATGAGTTAAGAGAGGTAGGAGTGGCACAATCTCCATTTTTATATTATTTCCATGTGACTTGGACTGAGAATCACCAAAAAAAAAAATTCTCATACAAATACTAGTCTAGGAATTTTCCAGCCAGAGAAATGAACATTAGCATAAATGGGCTAAAGCCAATTGATTGGAGGCCAAAATACGTCTCTGAGCCTACAGTTTTATGAGAAATATTTTCCCTGATCTTGCTACTTGACTTATAATTTGGAAGCCACATTTTATAAACTCTTAAACTGATCTAAGATTTGATCAAATTTTAGTATTTCGGCTGAGCTTGAATTTTAAATAAAAGAAAAAATGAGAAGGGTCCTCACCATTTCTTTCTCAGGTCATCATAATAGTTTTTTGACTGGTAGAAGTGCCTTTGACTTTATCCTTCACTTAATCTTAAATTTATCCTTCATGCTGACAGAACAGGATCCCTCTAAAACAGAAATCCCAATTGCCTTAGCCCACTCAGGACTTCAGATGTCAACTTCCCCTGAACCCTTCAAGGTATTTTGTCTCCATGACATATTCCTTTTACTTAGAATATCTGTTCCCCTACCTTGTCTATCTGTCAAACACATCATTAATATTTAGGAAAAAGATGGAAGTTTCTTTCTTACATTATTTCCAGGATTGCTTCCAAATACAATACTATTGTACTTGCAGAACACATACAATTGTAGTTATTTAATATTAGTAGTTTCTTTTTGACTGTAAATTCTTCTCAGAAAGAAATCACATCTTACCAACTTTTTGTTGTATGTCCAAATATGGTACAAAATAGAATGGACACTTATTTAATATTTTTTTCAAATAGTTATTGAACTTCTACTGCATTCTAGAAACTGTGCTAGCTAGGCCATGCTCAATAAGTATCTAACCTGTGAGTGAATAAATGAATCAGTGAAGAACGTTTTGATATTTCTAATTACAAATTACTTAAGGAAGCTGTTCCTATTTCTCTTATGTGCTGCTTTTAATTGAAAAAATTATTAAATTAAGGAAATTAAAAGACAACATTAATTGACATTTCCGTTAATAATCTACAAGCTGCAGTTTTGTACATTTTGTGAGATAGAATTGCTTGGTTTAGGAATTAAGAAACTAAGGATAGTATACCTTTGACCTTGTCATTTTACTTCTCTGAATCCCAGTTTACTCACTTGTGAAACAGGGGTCATGAAATAAATAGTTTCTAAGGTTTCTTTCATCGCTGTACTGTAAAATTCTTTCCTGTCTTGTTCAGGGATGACTCCTGGCTCTGGGCTTAGGAGTGGCCAGTTGTGGTGTTTGGTGAAACCATATGCAGATGGGTCAGCATCCTGTATTATCATGTACTGGAGTAACCCCAGTACCATCTCTCAGTCCCCTGTAAAATTATGTAAGTTCAGTTAAATATCAGACATTTTTAAGAAATAATTTAATAGCTCATCTTGTGCCTTCTGCCTCTACCCCTTGCTCCTTCTTGAGTCTTTCCTTCCCAGAAGGAAATGTAAAATTTCCTTGGGCTTATAAAATCCTTTCTTTCCCCAAAACCTCCCTAACATTGAATCTTTGGGTCTTCACGTGCATCCTTTACTCTTTCACATTCTTGATGCAAGGAAATGAATTCTTTGCTAGGGTCATGTGACAAATTTGTTGCTAGTGTGTCGAGATTGAATAATATTTCAATTTATTATCCTTCTCAAGGATATGTACTTTTGAAAAATACTTTAACTCTGTTTTATAAAAATGTTATTTTAAAGAAACCCCTTAGGATGTTCCATAAAAAATAAAAAGGTTGACTTGTGCACAAGTCCTGATGTAAGTATATTTCAACACTTGCGCCCCTCTTGGAGAGCCCAGAAAGCTACTGAGAGTATCTCGCCCGCACGGCAAAGCCTGGCAAGCTCCCCGTGAAATATTCAATATGCCAAAAACAGTAAGAACAAGTCTCACAATTTGTTGTGAAATGTTACTGGTGCCCACTCGATCTAATCGATGAAAAATGGGAGGACAGTGCTACAGTATGTGAACCCAGATTTTTTGACCATCTTATGTGGTTAATCACTGTGCTGCACATTTGGAATAGGATATTTGGGTGACCTACTAATAGATATTTGTCCTATACTGGTTTAATCTATATTTTCCTCCATATTAGGTTGCTTTCAAGATGTACTTGGGAATCACACCAAGTGTGACTTGTCACAATTCAAGCAGAAATGAATTTTCCCTGATTCTAGACAAGAATCCTCTGGTGGATTTTGTGGAAGAACTTCCAGCTGGGCGGTCCTCTCTATGCTACTGCAATTTGCTCTGCGGGATTATCAGAGGGGCCCTGGAAATGGTAAAGCACTTTATTTCTCCCTGTACATTTGACAGCTGGTCTTTTGTACTAAACTTTCCAAATGGGTAGCATCTTCAAACAACAAACACTCAGTGCTTGCTCCAGTAGTCATTAAAATTAGAAATGTACAGAGAAAATTGGTGTGGCCTCTACAGAAGTTTAACACACAAATTCATGAAACAGTTTCTATTGTTATAGACATGTCAAAGTATCTAATGCTGTATGCCTGACATATACAATGCTATAAACCTGATCTATTTTCAATAAAAATTAGAAACCTTAATGCATCACATATTTCCTGAGCAGTCTGGGGGTAGTTTAGCTAAATGGTTCTGGCTTTGAGCCTTTCACAGCTGAGTGCCTTGCTTAAAGTTGGCTATAAATTCATGAAATTTCTTGCCACACAGGCCAAAACACGGAGGGGACTCCCTCTGGACATAAAGAGCAGAAGCTGGTGATATTTGCTGATCATTTTATTTTTATTTATTTATTTAAGTTTTTGGGGCCACACCCAGTGATCCTCAGGGGTTACTCCTGACTTTGCACCCAGGAATTACTCCTGAAGGTGCTCAGGAAACCATGTGTTGTGCTGGGAGTCAACCCAGGTCAGCAATATACAAGGCAAGCATTCTACTGCCTGTACTATCTCTTTAGTCCCATATGGATCATTTTAAAGACTGGTTTCCACACCTGAATTACTCATCTATTGAACTGAAATAAAATATTAGCATTTGCTAGGAGTTAGGCACTCTACTAACAGAGATAAATAAGCCAGTTGCTCCCTTCAAGAATCTTTAAGGTGTATCGAGTATAAAGCATCACTAAAGGATGTAAGAGCCTTACATGGTTTAAGAGTGGCAGAGAAAATCTGTGAGAGAAACTCTGAGCTTACATTTGAAAGATAAACATAATATTGAACCTTGTGGTAAAGGAAGAAGGAAAATAATATTTCAAGTAAAAAGAGCAGGCTATCCAAAGGCACAAGAAGTTTTCAAGGAATAGGTAAAGGTAAAGGCCCTCCCGTTGATCGTCGATTTGCTCAAGCGGGCCCAGTAACGTCTCCATTGGAGACTTTGTTGTTACTGTGTCTGGCATATCGAATACTCTCGGTAGCTTGCCGGGCTCTCCGAGAGGGGCGGAGGAATCGAACTCGGGTCGGCCATGTTGGCCGCGTGTAAGGCGAACGCCCTACCCGCTGTGCTATAAGGACCTTAAATTTATTTCAACTTATTATGCCCTCAATGATATGTGCTTTTGAAAAAGTTTTTTTGTAAGTAATACTTTAACTCTGTTTTACAAAAAAAGTATTCTTTTAAATAAAACCCTTAGGATGTTCCATAAAAATAAGAAGGCTATTTAATATAATGCCAATGTAAAATGAGACAAAGATTGTCAAGAAATAAAAAACTTATGTTCTTGGTCCAGAGAGATATCTCAGTAGGTTGAGCACATATCTTTCATGGGGGAGACTCACTTTGATGCCCAGCATCACAGATAGCTCTCCAGGCACTGCCAGATGCAACTCCCTAACACAGAGCTGGGTGTGGCCCCTGAGAACAACCTGAGAGCCCCCCAAAACAAAAACAAGCAACAAATAAATCTACATTTTTTTCATTTAAGTCTGATTAAAAATAAGGTAAGAGTAAGGGAAAGAATCATGTAACAAACTTTAGAATGTGAAAATTTTTAGTGGGGGGGGTACACCTGGAGATAGATGCTCAGGTATAACTCCTTGCTCTGAACTAAGTAAGTTCTCCTGGTGGTGCTCAGGAAACCATTTGGCATACTGCGGATTGAATGAGGGTCAGCTGTGTGCAAAGCAATCACCCTACCCACTATACTATCTCTGTAGCCCCAAGAATGTGAATATTTTAGTGAAGTCAATAGAGAAATGCATTGTAATTTTATTAATGGGAATCATATTTTAAAATTTATGTTTTAGGAATTAAATTTCTTTGTTTGAAAAAAAGTTGAAAATACAGGACGGGACAAAGTTGGCTGGAGAGAGAGAGAGAGAGAGAGAGAGAGAGAGAAGAGAAGTTATGAAGCTGGTGGCAGTTCACTCAACTAAAAGCAGAACAAAATTGTGTTAGGAGAGAAGCAGACAAAACTGAACACTAAAAAGCAAAATATATAAATTAAATGGTTTATCAGTTAACTTAAAACAAGAAGATTGAGAAAAATATTCCAGTTTATTTTTAGGTTCCTGAACATTTAGGAATGGTTGTACTATAAACCAAAAAAGAAAGCTGGACAAGTATACTGGAGGTAGGGAGAAACAAAAATGAAAGTTCAATTTTGAAGTTTCTAAGATTGTGATGTCTAACACTCACACACACACACACACACACACACACACCCCTACACACATCATGAAATTCATTAAACAATTATTATTCATGTTTTAAAATCATGAAAATGTAGACTGAAAGATAGTAAGAGAACTAAAAAATGTCTAATAAAAAAGAAGAAAAATAAGTCACAGATGAAGTCCCAGAAAGTGATAGAACATGAGTAGATTAAATAGAGAATACACAGGTTGCATAGGATACTAAAAGGAATAATCAGGAGAAATAACAGGGGGAAATGTAGTTATAGAAACAAAAGGAAGTGAAATTCCAAGAATGATTCACAAAATCAAGTACAGAAGAAGACCTTGATAAAAACTATTTTGGGAAAGCAAAGAGAAGATCTGTCAAAGACTAATGAACCAGGGGCAGCTTAAAAAGACAGATGAGTGAGCAAAGTCTCAGTTTTTCAGAATTTAGTTTTAATAATCAATCTTAGCATAAGAATGTTGGGACCAGATAAAAATAAAAAGTTAGATGTGTTCAGTTACCCAATAGTGAAGCATGCACATATTTTTTCTTTATTTGTAAAACTTAGGAGAGGGACATAATAGCACATAATCCAAAAGAATTAAATGACAAAAATAATGTACTATCAACACAAATGCTTTATGCTCCCACTCTTCTATATTTATAACTAATAATCATCATAAAATCAAAAAAAGGAAAAGTTTTGGAAACTGTTGAGCAAAGGGATGAACCCTTAAAATCAAATAAAAAATAGCATCAAAAGGAGCTGAGAGATAGTACAGCAATAAAGGTGCATGACTTGATGTAGCCCACCCTGGTTTGATTCCTCTCACCACATGGTCCTGTTGGGGTCCAGCATTGGAGGCTCCAATACCCATCCTCCAGCACTGCCTGGTACAACCCAAGTAATCCTCAGCACTGAAGATGAAGCACTGCTTCTTCAGGTTCTTTCTTTGAACCTCCAGCCAAATGGGCTGACAATTGCTGGAAGGGCCCTAGGGCTTCCTGGGCTTCAAGTAGGAATCCTGCCCTCAAGCCCCAAGGCAAAAGAAGAATAAGATAAAGATGTCTTTTTTTTTCTTGGGTAAACCTTGACTAAATATGTTGAATGGCCAACAGGTGTGGGGCCCTCCCCACTACTGCCAGGTAAGATAGCTATTATTCAGCATAGCATAAGCACCACCATTTCTAAGATCTATCTGATATCCTACAGTCCCAAATAGCCAAACTGCTTTGACATAGTCTCCTTGTTATTTTAAGTGATTTTCTGTTAAAATTTTGACAATGACAGTAAAAGTTCTTATGTGGAAAAAACTATGAATAATGTAGTTACTATATTTCAAAGTGCAGTCTGCATCCTCCTACTGGGTTGTATCTCAGAGACAGGATTTTTGCACCTTTTACGAGTTAGTAACTTGACACACCAAGATCCAGAAAGAATTCTTAGTGAGACAGAAGATGCAATTCAGTAAAACAAGTTGTGTGCTAAATCTAAACAATTTTACTTATTCACTTTGACCAGGAGTTTTCACTGATTTATCTTATTCATCCCAATATTAGTTTGATAATTTACCCTAACAACAGTTGGATAGATGCTCTATTGAGGATTGTTCAGCAATCCTATGCTGCTCTTATGTGAATACATTTTAATGAATAGTGCCTAATGGTACTTTGACATCTAAGAAATTGGAAATGCCTCAGAGAGGAAAAGAGGTATCAAATATTCATGTCTGTAATTTCGATCTTTAATTTTAAATTTATAATTTATTTACTTAATAGTGTTTAAAAGCTCTCAAAGCTATAAAGGTTTTTAGAATAAGTGATTATGTTGTTTAAATAATGGCACAATGATATATAGCAAGTTACTTTGAGCAGAATTGCTTAAGAATCCATCTATTTTTGGGAGTTCTGCTTGGCAAGGTATACTGGAGCAAAGCAATATTTGAGTCAGGAATTTGTGTTCCTCTCTGAGATATAACAGTATAAGCAAAACTGAATCCATGTCTTTGGATTTATCCCAGAATCATCAGAGTTGGGTCTAAACTGTACCATACCACCCTTCTCTACAGACACAATGTAAAGCTAACCCACAATCAAACATCTCTGGAGAGTAGGTTCCTCAACCACAGAACAAGTTCTTTTTAGATTTTACCATAAGAGAAATCAATTCATTGTGGAATAAATATAACTGGAAAAAAATTTAGAGATTTTAGGTTTTTAAATCCCCATTGATATAAGCCTGATTCTCACTCCCCACCTCTGTTTTTCTAGGTTCATTTGGCTGCTGATGTAACATTCTTGCAAGACCGACTAAAAGGTGACAATGTGACAGAAATAGGAATAACATTTCTGAAAAAACTAGATGACAAAAAATACAGGCGGAAAAAATGAACCACAGCAAAATGCCACAGCATAGCTAGTTGTGGAGTTATCAACTTAATATGTATAGCCATAGATATATTGAAATGTTTGAAATAATTAGGCATGAGATTTAACAAGTTTATTTACCAATCAGAAATATGCGAGCACGGCACTAGAACTTAAAATAGTTTATTTCTGTTTGCTTATAAATCACGTATTTTGAATATCCTATGCATAATATTTTATATCCCATAAGATCGAAAACATGAATTCCAAATCCTATAATTTATCAGAGAGACCTATTTATTCTTTCACTGTGATTTTTTTAAAGTGCTAGCTATACAGTTGGTATATTTTATTTCTTCTAATTGGGAAAATGTATGAAATGATATGGAAAAATTATCATAGAGTAGATAACTATTAGATTCTGTATGCTATAAATTCTGTATGCATTTGCGGCCGCACGACATCTTATCAGAACTTTTTTTATGACATCTTATTGTCTCATTCCTACTTTGGACAAACTTGCAGGCTATCGAATGTAGCCTGCCCACAGGGCAGAGTCTGGCAAACTCCCCGTGGCGTACCAAATATGCCAAATACCAGTAACAATGATGGGTCTCATTCTCCTAAATAGCCTTGAATATAATCTCAGTGCTAGGATGAAAGAGACATTACTGGGGCCTGCTAGAGGCAATCGACGAATAACAGGATGATGAAATGAATGAAAAAAAATGCTATAAAAATAATAATGTCAATATTTTCCATATTTTTTAAGATCTCTGGATATATTTTTTCTCAAACATTGATTTGTCTTATAGTTGCAGTTTCTTGAAGCTACTCTTAATTTGTAAGAGTAAAATGTTTGTAATGTGTGAAGGCCAACTATTTATTTATATGTTGTATCTGAAAGTCTGAAACATTTAAAATGTATTCAAGTTTAATTATTTTAAATTTTAGTGGATATGAACTATAGTAACTTATTTTTTCAGAAAATATTGCAATTGGTCAAATCAGAAAATCTCTTAAATGAGAAAGTAAGTCATGATTTTTTGATAATTTTTTATTCCAAAGTTTATCCAATTACAAGTTTTGCTTCTTTCTAGATTTTGCTATAATTTTATATATATATAAATTCTTTTAAAAAGTATTATGAACTATATATTATCAATGAGAACATATTTAGAATCCAAATTTGCTGAATTAAATAAACAAAAATTTGCCAGACTGTCAGCATATGAAGTCAACTATCTACAGGGCTCTGTAGAAAACTCAAATCACAAGTAAAAGTTATAATTAGTGATGTGACATTAGTTAAAACTGTTGTAAGTGATGTGAAGTGCCTATTAGCGTTTCTCAATCTGCAACCATATGGTCTCCTGTGGTCCCAGAATATTCCAAGGGGGCCACAGTGAAAATCATGTAAATAGTGGGCCCTGGGAGGCAACTAGGCAGTCAGTAAGATGGAAGGGAGGCACAGGAAAGAAACAAGTTCAGAAGGGCGGACACTGTTGAAAAAAGGTTGAGTTACATTGGTGTAGACTTCAACCAGGATTTTTACATGATTAAAAAATAAACAAACATGATTGTCACCCATTGCTCTTTTGAAAACCACAACACCCAATAAGAGAGCGAGAACAAAAGGGAATGCCCTGCCACAGAGGCAGGGTGAGATAGGGGGGATGGGGGGTGGGAGGGATACTGGGATCCGTGGTGGTGGGAAATGGGCACTGGTGGAGGGATGGGTATTTGATCATTGTATAATTGAAACCCAAGCACAAAAATGTGTAAGTCTGCAACTGTACCTCATGATATCTTGCTATTAAAAATTAAAAATAAAATAAAGTTCAATTTCTAGGGGAAATTTATTTTTATTTCTATTCTATTTCCAGTTCTATTTCTAGTGACTTCTGCTAATTCTGACTAGCAGTTGACTTTGGTCAACACATTTCTCTCTCCCTCTCCTATTTAAATGAAATATATTTAAATGAAATAGCACAGCAGGTAGGGCGTTTGCCTTGCACGCAGCCAACATGGCTGACCTGAGTTCGATTCCTCCACCCCTCTCTGTATGGCAAAGCCTGGCAAGCTACCCATGTTGTATTTGATATGCCAAACACAGTAACAACAAGTCTCACAATGGAGACGTTACTGGGCCCACTCGAGCAAATCGATGAACAACGAGAGGACAATGCTACCACTAAACTTACACATTTTTACACAGAAAACTCAGGGGAAGTTGTTCTCACTGGCCTAGGTATCTCTTCAGAAAAACTATTTACATTAAGATTGGTATTAAGGAGCAAACAAAATTAGTGAGGTAGCTGAAGCGTTAGTAGAAGGACCTTCAAACCATTCTACAGAAGATCAGAAGTAGAATCTTGAAGAATACATTTTATATCAGAAGGAAATCACAATGACATGTGTCTTAAATTCATGACACAAGAAGTGTGTTTGCCTATAATCCATCCCAATGTTTCTTTTGGAGATTTTTTTAAAAAATGTTTTGCTCAATTTCTTCTTTCTCCTTTATAATCACACCTTGAGGAAATCCAGATATCATGTCTAAGGGCCTCCCTCAAAAAATAACACCCAACAAACCATGTTGAAATTTCTTTCTGTTCTGGAGTATTTAGTGTCTGTGTATATCTTTCCTATTCTTCCTTTCTCTTTTGATGGGCCAACCATCAAAACTCATTTGCCCCATGTCTATGCTACTTGCCCACTAATGATAGCTTAAGCTGAGTGAAGCTGAATGTTGAACCCAGGATGTCTACAAGATAAGTTGATCTACATTCATTCCTTTTAGCCTGAAGATAGAGACAAGTCTCTTGGCATTGAATTGTATGCAGTAAAGGTGATCTAAATAGTCAGCAGAAGAACTTGCTTGTATTACATGAACATTGCTTCCTGAAGAATGTTTAAATCTAGAAAGTTCTATTATAGGAATTGTAAGATCCATATATATTCGTACATATATGTGGACAGTTCTAATAGTTCTAATAACTACTTAAAACTAATGATAAACAGGTAACACTAATTTTAATAATTTATTTTACTTATACTAATTACTAACATATTATTTCAACTAAATATAAGTATTTACTATTTAGTCTATATGAAATTATTGAACTGGCCTAGGGTGACGGCACGGCCCCGCACGAGTGTCCTGTAGGGAATGGGCTCCCCGCAGAAGTAGTAGGCCACAACAATGCTGTCACAGGGCTGGCTGCCACCACCGCCCTTCCTCTGGGACTTGGTCCTCTGCTTTGAAGGCAGCTTGCTGGTTCTCTTCTCTTCTTCTTCCAGACGTCGGCGGGCCTCCTCAAGCTGGGTCAGAGGGTTGGGGGCTGGGTTGGGCGGCATCGTGGGGTCTTGAATGAAGAGATGTGAGGGTTGGACCGAGTTCCAGAGCTGAGCACTGACCCAGGGATGCAAGCCCCAGGACGCTCGATGGACAAGGGCCTGAAGCTCTCATGGACCTGCTGTTTTTGGCCCCAGAAGACCCGTGGCCAGTCTTCCTGTGTCTGCTGATCTCCTTCTCTCTGTCAATGATCCACTGCAGGATCTTCTGGTTCCTCTCCACCTCCTCAGCAGGGCCGGGGCCCTCCGCGCCACCACTCCGCCCCGATTCAGCCTTTCTGCCGCTCCGGTTGGAGGTCAGGCCAGCCTTCCCGCTGTGGGCCAGACTGTCACCAGCCCCAGGCGCCGTGCCCAGGCTTTCCGCGTGGCTGCGGTCTTGGCTGAGTGAGCACTGGGCAGATCTGGGCCCCATGGGAAGTTGCTCTGTGCCCGGCAGGTGATCTCGCCCTCAGCTTGCTCCTTGGGTCTGGTGGCGCTGTGGTGGCTGTGGTGGTGGCTGTGCTTGGCCCCAGACTTGGGCAGGTGCTTGCTGTGCCCACCCCCAGTACCCCTGGTATCTTAGGCACGTGCAGGCTGTCCGGGGAGTGGCGGCCAGGCCCTGGCAACTGACAGCCAGGCATCCTGAGATCTCCCAGCCTACTCGGATTGGAGTCGAGCATCCTCCACCCAGATCCTCCAAATTCCAGTAGGCGGGGATCACACCCACCACCTGGCCCCCTGGCGCCGTGTAATCCCATCAATGGCCAAGACTCAGAGACTATAAAATCCAGCTCCCGGAACCGCGCGGCCACGAATGCATCTTATCAGGACATCTTTTATGACATATTATCATCTCATTCCTACTTTGGACAAACTTGCAGGCTATGGAATGTAGCCTGCCCACAGGGCAGAGTCTGGCAAACTCCCCATGGTGTACCAAATATGCCAAATACCAGTAACAATGATGGGTCTCATTCTCCTAAAGAGCCTTGAATATAATCTCAGGGTTAGGATGAAAGAGACGTTACTGGGCCCTGCTCGAGGCAATCGACGGATAACAGGATGATGAAATGAATGAAATGAAATGAAATTATTAATGAGACCATTTACATTCTTTTTTGAACGCTAGTGTGACATATTTTATTGTACATCTCAATTTGTTTCTAAATTTTCTAAATTTGCTATAAAAGTTACTGGTGATGCATAGTCCTGTCAAAATAATAGTTTAATGTATTTAAGTGTTTAACTAAATACTAAGGTATTTAATGACTTTAGGTATAAAATATAAGTTAATTAAAATAAAACTCAATTGAAAAATCATTTTCTCAGTCACATATTCAAATTTTAAGTACTTCAATCACTGGGTGTTGATAGTAGGTAATGAAAGATACAGCATAGCTCTAGAATAAACTAAATAATTCTCATTGAGTTCTTCTGACCTGGAACACAAGAAATAATGTGGCTAATTTACATTCATGGAGAGGAAGAGATAAAAAGTAAGGAAACTCTTACTTACTTAAAGGAAAGAGACTTCAGAGGTTCCCAAAGTGCTCCAAAATGAAAATATTTTTATATAAACATTTCATAGTAAAGAAGTACTTAACAACATTCCCTGGGGTCCGTATGTATTTTCATTATCTTTGTGTGAAGTTGGATTCTAATAAAAAGCCCATGGAAGTTACTCAGTA